TTCCTGCCTGGGCTGGCTTCGAACCATAATCATAAGATGTTAGCCTGCTAAGTGTTAGATCCACCTGGGAGAAACAGCTCCTTCCCTTTGCTCTCTCTCCAAGCATCTCTGCACACCTCCATCTCGAGGTGGATGGCAGTTTAGTTTCCCCTAATAAACTCTCTTTCTGCCTGAACCACATGGAGGTCTTCTTTTAGCAACCAAAACACTGAGTAGCTAGGATTATAGGCATGAACCACTGGTGCACAGCTTCTTTTGACTTTTTGATATAGTGCTTTAATATGTGAGTTGATATCTCATTGCAGAGTTAGTTTACATTTTCCCAACAATTGATTATGTCAGCATCCTTTCATGTACCTGTAGTTGGCTGTTTGTATGTCTTCCTTAAAAACTGTTTAACAGGGTTGGGAAGGTGGCTCAGTGGTAGAGTGCTTGCCTTGCATGCATGAGGCCCTGGGTTCGATTCCTCAGCACCACATAGGCAAAAAGAAAAAAAGCCAGAAGTGGTGCTGTGGCTCAAGTGGTAGAGTGCTAGCCTTGAGCTGAAGAGCTGAAGGACAGCGCCCAGGCCCAGAGTTCAGGACCCACGACCGGACCCAAAAACAAAATTAAAAAATAAAAATAAAAATAAAATAAAAACTGTTTAACAGATTTAAACCTTTTGCTCATTTTTTAAATTGAGCCATATGAGTTCCTTATTTATTTTGGATTTAACCTCTATTGCATGAAAGCTTTTTAAGTATTTTCCTCATTTTTCTGGTTGCCTCTCATTTCAGATTATTTCCTTTGTTGTGCAGAAATGCTTTTGTTTGATATAATCCTACTTGTTTTGTTTTATTGTCTATACTTTTGGTATATAAAAAAAATCATTATCAGGACCAATGCGTAGAGCTTTTCAGCTGATTTCTGTGTATGTTGTAAGGATCTATTTTTTTCAGGTGGCTCTCTAGTTTTCCATTTATTATGCTACTGTGTGTTTTTTACTCCTTTGTCAAAGATGGAACTATTCATTCATGAGTTTATTTGTGAAAAAAAGTTTATTTGTGGACTACTATTTTGTTCTATTGCTCTGTATGTCCTTTTTATGCTAATATTATAACATTTGGGGGGAGGGATCTCACTCGATAGCTTAGACTGACTTGGAACTTGCTATGTAGCCCAGGCTGCCCTCAAACTTGTGATCCCAAGGATTACAAGCAGGAACTCCCACACCTCCCAAAAGTATACCACACCAACAGTGTGGTATGGCTTTATTCTTCTTGCTAAAGATTGCTATAGTTATCCAAGGTATCAAATATATATTTTAGGATTTTTTTCTATTTCTGTGATAAAAATCATTAGAATTTTGATAGAGATGTGTTAAATCTGTAGACTACTTTGAGAAGTATGAACATTTTGACTATACTGATTCCATGGGGCAGATTTATAAATGACTTAGCAAGGACATATAGCCTCAGCCCTTTACTGACCTGGGCCTTAGAGACTTCGTTCAGCCAAGCAGGATTCCACCTTCCATTCTCTCCATTTACTTTCCTGCTCCTCTCAAAGGACCCGTGCTCATGGCCATAACCCTGGCACTTTTGATGTGTATATCAGATCAGAGCTAATGGCCACTTTCTAGCGAAGGAGTAAGAATGGGTGTGTGTGTGTGTGTGTGTGTGTGTGTGTGTGTGTGTGTGTGTGTGTGTGTGTGTGTGTGTGTGTGTGTGTGTGTGTGTGTGTGTGTGTGTGTGTGTGTGTGTGTGTGTGTGTGTGTGTGTGTGTGTGTGTGTGTGTGTGTGTGTGTTCTGCCGGAGTAAGAAGGTACACTGCTGGGTAATGAGGAGGCAGACTCCTGGTGGCCAGGCAGTTTGCCCACAAGATAAAAGGCAGCCCACTACTTAATGTACATGGGGAAAAGGAATGACTAAGAAGAAATGCTAAATGGACACGCTGGTCCAAGGACTCAGCTCCAAACCATGTTTTTATCACCTGAGGGCTCTGCACAGTTTTCAAGGTTTGGAAGAAAAGAGGAGCTACCCCTTGGTTTTTCTGTGGCATACATCATGTCTCAAAGGTCTATAAGATTACTGATAAAGCTGGGCACCAGTGGCTCACGCCTGTAATCCTAGCTACTCAGGAGGCTGAGGTCTGAGGATCACGGTTCAAAGCCAGCCTGGGCAGGAAAGACTCCAATAACCACCAGAAAACTGGAAGTGGCACTGTAGCTCAAGTGGTAGAGCGCTAGCCTTGAGCTGAAGAGCTGAGGGGCAGCGCCCAGACCCAGAGTTCAAGCCCCACGACCGACCAAAAAAAAAAAAAAAAAGATTACTGGTAAAATGGCAGAGATGGAACCTAGATTCTAGCTCTTCTGCTTCTTTCTGTGTCACCATGGGCAAATAGTTTCATCAGTTTGAGACTCAGTTTCCTTGTTTACGAATTGGAGATAATATGTAGGTACTTCACACGATTAAACTAAATGAGATGAAGGAGGAGGTAAGTGCTTATCATAATGCTTAGAATGTAGTTTAAGCAAATAGCAGTGCTAGAAGCTCTCTGTGGTTATGGCCAGGCACATATCTAGTCTTTAGTCAGCAGGTGCCCATTCTTCCCTAAGGAGGACCACTGTGGGCAACAGGGAAGGAGGCTGGAGACAGATCTGAAGCCGAGGCTTCCTTATTACCTCATCACAGGGGACCAGCTGCAGTAGCTTCTTGAGGATCTCAACAAATAATTTTGTGGCAAACAAGGCAGAGAGCTTTCTTCTGGAAAATCTAACTGAATGTGTAAACTATCCACAGTGAAATGAGAGGGGAGAAAAGTAATGCCTACTACCCTCCTTTAATAGATGACACAGCCAAGGCTCACAGGGAGAACTGACTTTTCCAAGGCCTCTGAATTGTTTACCTTTGCTGGATGTCTCCACCTAGTCACCAATCACCTCCTCCTCATTTTCCAAGGACATTTGCTCCCAGGCTCTGTCCTCTGACCTCTTACGGGGGAAAAAAATAAAAGGAACAGAGGCATGGAGAGGAGAGTTAACAAGAACAGATAAAGGAAAGTATGGAACGCTGCTCAGCCCATCTCCAGGATGGCATCAGGGAATCTCCTTCCTAAGCCCAACTTTCATCTCTCCCCTGGAAAACCATTCAGGGAATGGTTTCCACCAGAGATGTTAGGATAGTATCTGCCACTCTATCCTCATTTACAGTAACCTGAAGACTCAAGTCCAGCCATAGCCCCTCTGATGCAATGTGTAGTCCATGGACATCTGTGAAGTCCCCGGGGCACTAAGTCCTCTTCAGACTCAAAGCATTTCTCGTACCCAGAGCCTGTGCTTTGGGCACTCTTTTCCTGGTTATCGTTCAGCTCCTTCTACATCTAATGCAGATAACTGTTACCTGTCTACTGGAAAAACTCATAAGCTTTCCTAGAACACTTTTGCCCTAAAAGCTAGTGTCCAGTTCACAAGAAATGTTTTCCATGGGTTGGGAATGTGGCTCAATGGTAGATTGCTTGCCTAGCATGCATGAAGACCTGGGTTCGATTTCTCAGTACATATAAACAGAAAAAGCCGGAAATGATGCTGTGGCTCAAGTGGTAGAGTGCCAGCCTTAAGTAAAAGAAGCTTAGGGAAGGTGGGGCGTTGATGGCCCATGCCTATAATCCTAGCTACTCAGGAGGCTGAGATCTGAGGATTGAGGTTCAAAGCCAGCCCTGGTAAGAAAGTCCGTGAGACTCTTAACTCCAATTAACCACCAGAAAACCAGAAATGGTGCTGTGGCTCACATTGTAGAGTGCTTTCCTTGAGCTGAAAAAGAGCTCAGGACAGCACCCAGGCCTAGAGTTCAAATCCTACTACCAACAACAACAATAGAAGAAGGAGGAGGAGGAGGAGAAGGAGGGGAAGAAGCAGGAGCAACAGCAGTAACAGCAGCAGCAGCTGCTGCTTAGGGAAGGTGCCCAGGCAGGCCCTGAATTCAAGCCCCAGAACTGGCAAAAAAAACGTTTGCCAAAAGGAACATTTCCTGGCCATCAAGGCCAAAGTCTAGACTGAGCTTCACCAAGCAGAGCTGTACAGTTCTCACAGGGTGCTGAAGTCAGAAAATAACAAGTCTTTCTTCCTCCTCACACAGTTCCTAGTATCAGGACTAATGTATAATGGATCTAAGAAGTCCCACAGAAAAGAAAGGTTTATCTCCAGGTTCTTTAGAATCCTTATGACAATTCTAGGTGGGCAGTTGTATGCCAAGTAGGCACTATGTGGCTTTTGATTCTAATACCCGTCACAGTCACACCCTGATGCCTGGGTGGGTGAGCAGATCTCTGTGCACCCTGTACTCCCAACTTGAGAAGACATGAAGTCTCACCAAATTGGCAGACATACAGTCATGCTTTTAGGGGAAAGCCAATTATTGTGCTATCTTCGATTTAAATGATTAACTTCTGTCAGAAGGACTAGGACTTCATAAGACTAGGAATACTGACACAAGATGCTATATTTCCGTACAGGTCATTTACACTTCCTGTTTCCCCCTGGAAGGGATCTGCTTCATCCCTCCTCACTGCACTACTAGGCTGCGCTCATTTGTTTGGGGTGGGTTTTGCTTGATTTGGCTCCAATGGCTCTAATCCATCATTGGTATGAAAATATCCATAGTGTCCCCTGGTCTTCATGAAAACAGCTTTATAACAAAAGAAAAAAGGTGGCATCGTGCCCCAAATTGTTAATAACTCCTGTGTAGGAATTCTGCCTAAGTTCATGGCTGAAGAAACCCACGAAGCCTCTAGAGATAAACTGTCTCCCTGATGCTATCAGAGGAAAAAACAACAACTCTAAATGGAATCGTGACTACAACTGCAAAGTGATGTTACGTAATCTCTGAAATCAGCCATCTTGTCTATTATCTGGGACCCAAATTCCTCTTTAACTTCATTTGAATTGTATTTCTATTCTTTCTTTGCACTTAGGCAAACTTGTGATGCAGAGGTAAAAGGATGTGAATAGCATGACTACCCACCTTGTAGTTAATTTCTTTTTCCTGCTGGCATCTCTTCAGATTTTCTGCTCTTGATTGATCAGTGTAGAGATTCTACGGAACTAGAAGAAAAAAGGATTAGAGCCAGACATAATCTGAGATAACTAAAGCAATCTTTTGTTAAAGTTTGTTAAAAGTTAACAGTTCCTATTAAACATATTCAATGGGGCAGCCAAATGTTAATGAGATCATACCATAGATATGTTCATATGAATACAAGAATATTCAGTGAAGTAGCAAAAAAAAGGGAGAAAGTTACTAAATAACTATTAATAAGGAAATAGTTAAATTATGGTGTTAGAAACCATACAGCTATTTCAGGGAATGAAGGAGATTTCATTGTCCTGACATGGAAAAAAATACGTTTGTTTAAAAAAAGTATACTATAAAAGTACATATATTATTGCTTTTATTCACTTATAGAAACAGGGTCTCGGCCTAGAACTCAGTATGTAGTCAGGCTGGTCTCAAACTAGTGTGCTGAAATTACAGGCATGCACTACCATACCTAGTTTATATTATTGCTTTGGCTTTTTTTTTTTGGTTGGTCATGGGGTGTGAACTCTTGGCATGGGCGCTGTCCCTCAGCTCTTTAGCTTAAGGCTAGGGCTCTCCCGCTTGAGCCACAGCACCATTTCTGGTTTTCTGAGTGGTTTATTGAAGAGTCTCATGGCCTTTCCTGCCCGGGCTGGCTTTGAACCTCAATCCTCAGATCTCAGCCTCCTGTGTAGCTAGGATAACAGATACGTTAAGTGTCTTACAGACTTTCTTACCCATGCTGGCTTTGAACCACAGGGTTCAAAAACCACCCTCAGGAGTGGCAATGGGCTGGAAAGGAAGTACAAATGCCAGTGTCTCGGCTTGCTGGTTGGCCAGATGCTCTCTGACTTCTACAGTACAGGAGGCCAAGAGCCCAGATAAGAGAAGTAGGGATGGTTTGCAAATCATTTGGACAGAAAGAGAAAAGTGAGGGATAATGAAATAAGAGAGAAAGAGCACACGGCATTCCCAGCAGGAGAGCTATCTGCCATCGCAGTTACCTGGAAGGTGCTCTGCTCTCCTCTGGTAGAAAGCTTTGCTTTAACTTTTTTTCTTTTTTTCTTTTTGTCGGTCATGGGGCTTGAACTCAGAACCTGGGCACTGTCCCTGAGCTCTTTTGCCTAAGGCTAGTGCTCTACCACTTTGAGCCACAGCTCTACTTCCGGTTTTCTATGGGTAACTGGAGGTAAGAGGCTCACGGACTTTCCTGCCCAGGCTGGCTCTGAACTGTGATCCTTAGATTCTCAGCCTCCTGAGTAGCTAGGATTATAGGCGTGAGCTACCAGTGCCCAGACTTCTTTACTTTTTATTTCATTGATAATTGTTTTGTGAAAGTAATAATGCACCACATTTCTGCAGGCCTTCATAGTTTACAAATATCTTCTTGTTCCCATTCCCACAACAGCAACTACCACCTGCACAGCCCAGGCCAGCCTCCTGAGGCTCTACTCTTCTCCTTCTCTTACCTTCCACAGCCTTAAACTCCTTCCCACCACCCCTTTCTCTTTACCAACACTCTGGTTTCCATGTTTCCCTGCCTTGGACCATTTCACATATGTCCGTCTCCCTGCTTGGGTTATCTTCTTACTCCATAGCATCGTTTTCTCTCCCCTCTTGCCTCTTAGCACCGCTGCTTCCTCAAGGAAGCCCATCACCTACATTCTCTTCTTGATCAGCCATGTTGTTCCTCAAGTCCTAACACTACTATTGGTCCCAGTGAACTTCATGTGGGAGGGGCCAGGTCTGTTTTATTTCACTGTCCACCTATTACCCTGCCTGGCGCTGGCACTATTAGGTGTTCAGTGAACATTGACCAACCATGTGAAAAACTGTCATTGTGAATTGAAGGCTTGGCTCCAAAGCTACTGCTCCTCTGCTCAGCAGTGCTGTCTCTCTCCTGGGGTAGGTGATCACAGGTTAAGAGTCATTTTATTCCTGTCAGACTATGAGTGACTTTGACGTCTTATTCACTCCAATACTCTCCACAGCCCCACACACAATACCTAACACACCCAGGTTCTTAATAGTACATGAACTCACGTATCTGCAGGAAAGTGCAAATGGAGGCTGCAAGATTCCAACCACTTACAGATATTTTCTCCTGCCTAGAAGACCAGAGCCCAGACCATGAGTATCTCTAGGATAGGCAAACACATGAGGCTCTGCCCAGGAGAATGCAGAGGTAGTGGATAAATAAGGGCATGGAAAGCTAGGTCCTTATTCTGACCCAGACCCCTTGGACAGAATTAAGAATGCCCTAGCTGCCATACTTCATTTCTTTTGCACTCTAAAGGTCTGTTATCATGTTCTTACTGGCCAAGTAGAAACCAGTAATTTCTTGGAAGATAACAAGCCTCTTTTAGTTGAGAAATGCTGACTTCCTCTGGTAAGAGTGGCTACATTCTGATCTGTAATTCACCGACATCATAGCTGACTACAAATCACAGCTGACTACAACTTCCAAAGAAATCATGCCTTGAAGGAGCAATGCTCAAGGGTTTTGGTTTTTTTTTTTGTCAGTTGTGGGGCCTGAACTCTGGGCCTGGGCACTGTCCCTCAGCTCGTCAGCTCAAGGCTAGCACTCTACCACTTGATTCACAGCACCATTTCAAGCTTTTTCTGCTTATGTGGTGCTGAGGAATCAAACCCAGAGTTTCATGCATGCAAGGCAAGCACTCTACCACTGAGCCACCTTCCCAGCCTCTCAAGGTTTTCCTAAGGCACTACTGAAGGGTTTTCAGGAGGCCAGGAGCTCAGTCCAGAGGCATGCAAAATAACCTGCTTTCCAAGAGGTTTAGATGATTCATCTGTCTTCACTTAGGAATCATGTCTGGCCCTTTTGAGTTCAGTTGACTTAATCAGCTGAGGTCAACCTTTCTCACACAGGACCTAGTATGAGCCTCCTCCTTAGGTGGCTGGGCCAGGGCCTTTCAGGAGACAAGCACCCACTTCTGTTTTCAGCAACTGCACTGACTGACTGATGTGCAGTCCAGCATCAGTTGACTGGATGACAAGAAGACGCTCTGGGACTTTGTAAAGCCAACATGGCAGTTCCAAGATTCCTCCTGGTGATTTCCAAAATTGATGTGTTCAGAGAAGACTTGAGGCTCCTCACATAAACACTATCATATGACTGTGAGAACAGAGCTTGTGAATACTGCAAACGTTCTCTTTCTGAATATTGTCAGGGTGTAGTCCTGAGTATATATTTCTTCACCAACTTATAAGTGCCTTTCACCTGCTCCTTTTGGAGTAGGTCTGACTGACAATGAGCTCCTATGACTCTGTAGAGGAGATGATCTGGTGGGAGATCTTGAAGCTAGGAGGTGTTAAGGGTGGAACTCTTACTTGCTTTCTTTTCCCACTTCTCACTTAGCCCTAAAGTGACTACTTTGAGACAGACAGTGGTACTAACCAGTTCTGGATTCAAAAAGGCCCACAGGGACAGGAGCCAGACAGCCAACAAGAGAGCACAATAGACAGACTAAGGGAACGGCACACAGTGCAAAAAGCTGAAGAACGCATCTCATGAAGGTATTCATATTAAGACCCACCTCCTTTAACACACAGAGGAACTGAGATGGGGAGAGGAGTGAGGAGATTAAAGTGTACTGGTAGCACATCAAGCATTCCACCTCTGTCACCTGCCAGCTGTGACAGGCAAGTCACTTCACCTCTTTGTGCCTTTGGTGTAAACTGGAGATTATCTCTCAAATCATGCTGTGAAGATTAAAAGGATTCAGCACAGGCAGATGTCCAGCTCTGTGTGTGATGAATATCTCAGGAAGATACATGCTAGTAGAGCTCAGGATGCAGTACTCTTTCACATCTCCTTACTCCAAAGATGCCTGAAACTCACCAGTGGGGTGGCTTATGCAAGGGAAAGTATACTGTAAAAGCATAAACAAGAAACTAAAGGCTCTTTCACTGTTGTGGGGCACATGAAGGCCTGAATGGACGAATGAGGCATGCCATCCTTTTGTAACCCCTGCCTCCTGGCATGGATTATTATTATTCAAAGTTTCAAGATCCTCTGTGTGTGTGCAGGGGCGGGGGGGGGGGGGGGTTCCCATTACCCAGGCCTTCAGTGGAATAGCTACTGGGAACAATTACAGCTTCAAGGTGATGAGAGAACTTTCCTGTTAACCATGACAGTAACTCAGCTTCTAAATACCACACCTTCCTATGGATTATGGTCTCTATCTACTTAGATAAACCATTTTTAAGTGTGCATGCTTGTGTGTTTTCCTTCTTTAGGACACTAAACTTGAAGAAAATCACGAAAATTCTGAAGTAGTTTATTGGTGACCCTTTTATGACCTCTTATAGGTGCTAGTGTTCAGCCAGTCTGGGATACTAACAACCTAGGAAACTTTGCTCCTAATCCCATAACTATCTGCCACAAAGGGGAGAGAAGTATGGATGGTTTATTCCAACTTGAACTCAGAAATATCACAACCAGCTAGTTTTGTACCTAAGGTCACACAATTTTCTTGGGGGTGGGGGGCAGGCCTTCTAATATATGGTAGGATGGGACTCATATATGCTTTGGAAATGCTGTCTCATTCAAGCTCCACTTTTAGCTCTACTTTTTGCTTTTCAAAGCCGGAATATTTTCTCTTTAACTTTTCAAATATATGTAACCTGCTAGCAAGGGAAATAAATGGGCCTCAATACCTTGCAAGCCATCTCAGGCCACCTGACAACCTTTAGCTCAGAGACCCACTAGGCAGGGAACTAGGGGCAACAAGTCCCTCTCTTTTCTTCTCTACATAGAGTGGCTCATTTCGTTTCAAATCCTGAAAATAGATAACAAGTATAGAAAGCCTCAGGGCTGACATGGCTTGTTTATTTTCTAAGCATAAACAACAAGTTTTTGAAAGGAAGCAGTAAGAAGACCACAAAGCCAAAGTTAAAGATTTCTCTTCTTTCCATCTTGGAGTTCTCAAACCAGCTATTTTAGGGTGTGATTAGATACACCATAAAATTTAACCAACCTAGATTTGAAATGAAACATATAATTTTTTATTTATAAATGAAAGTGTATAGAGATTCTTAAGTTCCAGACATTTCTTTCTAGTAAAACATTTTGTACCACCTTCAAAATAGAAAAAAATAATAAGGTTTTCTGCCCAGTATCAGTGGCCCATGCCTATAATTCTAGCTACTGAAGAGGCTGAGATCTAAGGATCATAGTTCAAAGCAAGCCTAGGGGACTTTTATCTCCAATTAGCCACCAAAAAGTAGAGCTGTGGCTCAAATGGTAGCTCTCTAGCCTTGAGCATGAAACATCAGGAATAGTGCCCAGCCCAAGTTCAAGCTCTAGAACAAAAACAAAAAGGGAGAGGGCAGGGGTAGGGGTTTCTTCACCTACATCTGGGCCAAGGAGCTGCTTTTGGAGCCCTTAATACTCCATCAAGTTCTCAGGTGAAAAAGTAAACCAGCATTTGAAGAGATCCTATCTGGGAGACTTGAGGATCCGACTTTAGCCGTGGGCAATTTCAGAGAAAGCTGTAATTTTCAGAGCAAGTTCCCATACATCATAACATAAAAATAGACTCTGTGACCAGCAAACTGGAAAGCAAACTCTCCAGAGATCTCTGCTTCTCCCTAGGGGTGGGGGGCGGAGGAGGGAGTAAAGTTCTACTTACAGGAGCCAAGTTTTCTCCAAGTCCAGAGGTTCAGGGCAGAAGTGAAGGTAGAATTCAGCGACGTTTCAAGATGAACAGTCCAGACCCAAGGTGCAGGCAGGAGTCCCTCTTGCCCTTTCTCTTTCCCAGTGTCGCCTAAATGAAAAGCACTTCGAGGTTTTAGTGGGTGTTTCCCACATCTCTGGCCAAGTCCCCATTTGTTGTAATCCAATGCTCAGCCTGATGATGTCAACCACTCGACTCACTTGCTCAGTTTCCACTCTCTTTCCACGGGAGAGATCCATTTCCTTTGGACAATGAGCCAGGGGGCTGTAACTGCATCCTAGACCCGTCACAGTTGCCTAACATCCTTCCTTCAATTTTCATCCCTGCAGCCTTAGTGACAAAGGGCTTCCTATCTACTCGTGCAGTCAGGGTTCCCAGCATAAATCCCTCTGCTTCCAACAGTTGCTGCTGACTCTGAGCTATCTTCTCTGCTTTGCTGTTTCCATTCATTTCTTAGATGAATAATAGAAAGGAGACCTTGACCATATATCCAGCTCTTTCTCTCTGCCCAATTCTCCATGTTGCTTCATTTCTCTATAGTCTCCTAGGCATATATGGAGTGCGGTGCATGCATTTGTCCACATAAAGAGACCATAAGCAAGCCCCCAGGAAAGAAAGGCTGGGAAACAGTAGCTAGTCAGGCAGTACTGGTCTATTGCTTCAGGAACTGGGCTCTGTTCTTGGTCCTATACTCCCACTCCCTGGACTACATGAGTGGCCTCAAGCAAGTCATTTCCCTGTGCAATGGAACCTCAGTTCCCCCAACAGTAAAATGATGGCTTAATTGCCTTCCTTTCTCAGATTCCATGATTGAGAATCCACACCTGCAGAGCTTACTAGCTTATGCATCCTACAATAGACACATACTTAAGCAGGGGATAAACCCTGGTCCTAGAGTCTAGGCTTCTCACCTTCCTTAAACCTCTTTATGATGGAGCTGGAATGTCTTTCTGGGAGAAAACCATAAAGAATTCACTGAATTAATCCCAGGGGACCTGAAGAAAAGGCAGCACAAACTATTAGATAAGAGAAACAAGAGCCAGTAGCTCATACCTGTAATTCTACTCAGGAGGCTGAGATCTGAGGATCTGGGTTGGAAGCCAGCTCAGGCAAGAAAGTCTGTGAGACTCTTATCTCCAATAAACTACTCAGAAAAAGTGGCACTGTGACTCAAGTGGTACAGTGTTATTAGCCTTGAGCACAAAGAGGCTCTGGAATAGTATCCTGAGTTCAAGCTCCAGTACCAGCAAGAGAGAGAGACAGAGAGAGAGAGAGAGAGAGAGAGACAGACAGACAGACAGACAGACAGACAGACAGACAGAGATAGAGACACACACAGAGAGACAGAGACAGAGACAGAGAGACAGAAACAGACAGACAGAGACAGAGACAGAGAGAGACAGAGGAACAAGAAATTTCAGGATCCACAAGGAAAAGCCTGGAGAGAAGACACAGGGAGCTGCTCTACTCCTGTGGGATGGCAAGGAGAACTGAGTATGCTCTGGAGCCAGAGACCTGGGGCTGGCTCCTACGTGACTTCTCTGGACTTCATGTTCTTCACTGTGAAGTGGGCTACTAGTGTCCTCACTTTAGAACTGTGAGAATGGCACTTGTCAGGGAACTAAAAGTAGTCAGCACACACTGAGTACAGAACAGGTGCTAGATCTCAGTGGTATATATAATCTCACTGATTCTTCCAATTCCCCAGGTGAGTGAGGCCCAGGGCTGCAGTATTAATCTCCTTCCTGGACAAGAAAATGAAACAACTGACATGCCCAAAGTCATAAGCTCAAAATGAAAGGGCTAGAATTAGAAACAGAGACTTATCTCCTAACTAGGTCGGTATGCATTCCACACACACAGTTGCTATTTCTTAAAATGGTCACTCTACCCAGCCTGGTAAAGGAAACTTCAGGCCACCAGGTCAGAGGGGAACTTATCTACAGGACTTTGCTACCAAACTATTGGGTGGCCTAAAGCAAGTCTGGCTTCAACTCCCTGTCCCCAGGGGGCAGCTGTGATCTGTGTTGATGTCACTCTTCTGGGTATAAGAAGTTAGGACTGGACTCCATGGAAAGCAGTTCTTTACAGGTGTGGGTAGAGGAGAAGTGGGTGGTAGTTTATGACTTAAGGCTTTTTATTTTTTAGCAGAATACTCTGGTACTTATTAGGAAAGACCCAAACATAGGCTCTGTTAGGATGGTTTTTGAACTAGTTTGTGAACTGTGGTGGAATAAAAATCTACCAGCTCCCAAACTCCTAAGAGCAGCAGTTAACAGCTGAAGTTAAGAGGCCTGCAGTAACAGATGAGAGAGGCCTGGGGTCCGTATAGTCCCAGGCCATCTTCTAGCTAGGGGTAATTTGTCAACTCCTTTGTGTCTCGGTAGTTGCACGTAAGATGGAGATACCCACAGCATTACCCTCTAAGATACTTATGTTGGATAAGTACCTGCCACATACTGTGAGTTCAAAAATAGTTGCAAAAATAAGTTGCAATGTCTTAATGATAAAGACACTAGCTTCAAATTCTGACTTCCTTTTACCTTCCTCTGCCTTAATGATGTGGCAAGGATGACAAAGACTCAAGGTAATCAAGTCAGGAGTGTCAAGAAGCCAGAAGAAAGGCCTGTATTTCTCCAGCTCAAGTAAGGAACAAAGGCCCACCTCATGGAGAGCTGCTCTCTGGGAATGTACTTAGCCTAGAGGGACTGGAAGCAGGGCCATTGTTTGGCTGTGCCTTTATTCCAGAAGTTTAAGTGGGAGTTAGGAAATGAAGGCAGTTCTTGAGAAGGATCAGTTTACTGACGTCACCCTTTGAATCAAGTTTTGTTGGTTGAACAAAACTAACAGTAAGCAAGGAGCTCATTCATAACACAAGATCACTTTCTACAACAAGTACTCTGTAACACTTGCCTTCCAGGCAGAATAATTCTGCAAACAACAAATTCCAGGAAGAAAGATCCCTAAGGACAAGGACCTCAGTTTGCTTCAGGCTATAACAGTAGAGATGCTGTGGGCCAGGCCTTGCTCAGCCAAGCTGTCTACAAACATCTCCTTAACTAATCCTCACATCAATCAGCTGCAGGAGATAGGGTTGGTATTCATAGCACAGTGTAGCCACAGGTACACAAAAGAGGCTAACCAAGCTGCTAAATAATTTCTAAAAGACATAAACATTTCATAGAAGCATGACAGAAGCTTAAGTAACAAAGCACCACTGGGGGAGTGGGGGTGGGGGAGGGCACATTCCTGTAAAATCTCAGAACTCAGGAGAATCAGCTCCAGGCCCTAGCTACAAAGTAAGACTTTGCATCAAAAAAATAAAAAATGAAAGAGCAAGAACCACTGGTGGGGAGGGGAGGGGAGGGAGAGATAGGATAGAAGGACAGTGGAAAAACACCATTAGAAATAAGAGACAAATAGCTGTTTAGAACCCTGGGGTTCCAGGAAGGCTCTAGGCCTATAGAAATAGAGAAGACTTCGAAGCAGGGATGAATATTAGGGGATCAGCTAAAGGTCCTGCGCTAGACAGTTCCTTACTCTAACACTACTGCAGCACTCGAGTTAGAAGTGTAGCAGAACCACAGGCAAAGTCAGGGAGGCTCTTTAAATAAACTGAATGAAGTGTAGGGGTGGCCTAAGACTGGCTCTTTAATCTGACATTAGAAGGGCCCTGAAGTCTAACTGCTGGTCCTGTTTCTATGCCCTGTCTAAAAACACCCCTTCCATTTGGCACAGAGAGCTTCCAACAAGTTCCCAGGCAGGGGAGAGGCCCATGAGGCAAGCAACCAACTATGGAAGAAACCAAGGCCTAGCTTCTAAAAGGAGCCTTTCATTATTGATTGTGATGTCCAAGAAATCTATCACAAAGCATCTGAAGAAAATCAACAGCATGAAAAAGACTACAATAGAAGATAGTCCTTATAAAACATCAGGAAATTCAGACAAATGAGAAGCTTAAAAAAAAAAAATCCCACGTCTTCACAAAGTCTAAAGGTAATGTTTCCATGAACATAAAGGAAATTAGCTGACAAAAATGAGTTCTTGAGAATTATCAATATGAATTCAGTACAAGAACTATAAAGTAAGAAAGAGAAATCTTTAACAATACAGGAAAAAATACTCATTGGATAAAAACAAATATTCACACAGAGTAAGCATCTAGGAAGTTCAACATGACACTACGTAGGAATTACAGAAAAGAAAAAGGAAATAAAAAAGGTGGGGGGACAATAGAAAATTATCTAAGAATTTAAGAGAAAAATTTCCCAAAGGTGAAGGAAGACATGGTTCTTCAAACTGAAAAGTCTGAAAATGCTAAGTCAGACCTACACCTTGACACAGCCTCTTAACCGTGCAGATTTCAGAAGAAAAATTGTCAGTTTCCAGAGCAGTACACAAGATTGTTTCAAAACTGAAAAATAAGGTTGAGATTGTGGTATATTTCTGTAACTCCAGCAGTGGGCGGCTGAATCAGGAGGGTTCAGAGTTAAAGGTCAATCTGGGTTATATATCAAGAATTTGTCTCAAGGGGTGGACCCATTGCAACAATGAGATATACAAGACGTTATGTCGAAAAAACGGACTTTACAACTTTGGCATGGGGGAGGGGGAGGTGAGAGGGGGAGATGGGAAGGGATGGTAAGGGGAAACAAAGGAGGAGGCAACAATGCTTGATAAGAAATGTGCTCTTTACCTTGCCCATGTAATTGTAACCCCTCTGTATGGTATTTTCACACAAAAAAAAATTTGTCTCAAGGAAAAACAAAAACATGGGCTGGGAAGGTGGCTCAGTGATAGAGCGCTTGCCTTGCATGCAATGAGGCCCTGGGTTCGATTCCTCAGCACCACATAAGCAAAAAGAAAAAAGCCGGAAGTGGCGCTGTGGCTCAAGTGGCAGAGCGCTAGCCTTGAGCTGAAGAGCTTGAGGGACAGTGCCCAAGCCCCATGACTGACAAAAATAACAATGATAATAATAATAATAATAATAATAGTGTCAGAAGGCAATGAAGCAATGCTTTCTAAGAGAAAAGCTCTAAAGAAAAATGACATGGAATTTAGAACTATAACTCAACTAGGCAAGATAAAGA